AGATTTGAACAGAAGTTTAGATCCTGCACGCAACCACCTTCTTCGATGCCCCTGTTGAAGAACCACTCTCCATGTGATTTCATTGCCTCCTGCTGGCTACGGTAGATATAATCGATGTCTCATTCCGTCGTTCGCCTCTATGCTGTTGTTGATTTGCCAAAAGTGAACTGAATAAGTGGAGAGGAAATGAAGCTGCTATTCAGAGTGGAGAATTGACAACGAGTGATTTATTAGGTGATAAGTGACCTGTTTGTAAACTTATGTGAAAGCATGTGAATTGCGAGTATGTGTATTGAATGCTGCTAGAATTGTATTTCGAATGGCGCAGTCCCGCATAGCGAAAATGCTGAAACCATTTGAAGAATTTATGATTTGCACACAAAAATAACAATGAAAGGTAACAAGAGTATTTTTAGTTGGGTGGGGAGGAAGAGAAGACAGGTAGTAGTTGTGTGTGTGTTGGGTTGTGATCGAGTGGTTTATAATCGTAACAATAACAATAACAATAATAATAACAATAATCATAAAAAGCGAGTTTGATGATAGGGTTTATGATAGGGACGGATGAATCGAACTGAATGACTGAGCCAATGAAGGACAACAATACAACATGACGACGAACACATAGTGGATGGAATAATGGATGATGAACGTGAAGAAATGAATGAAATGAAGTGTGCGGGCTCGGTGGGTTTGCGCTTCAGCTTCAGTGCTTGCTGCTTGAGAGGCTCATAAAGGAGGCATCATTTCGATGAGGAAGGGAGGGAGGACGACGCTAGAGAAATACACCACCGATTCATCGCCATCGGTCGCCATCTAATCGTAATGAGTGATTGCTATTTTATGAGCACGATGGACCACTATTAAAGCCGAATGAATGCATCATCAGTATTGTTAACGTTATGATGGTGCTCAATTGGAACGTGATGACTGCCTGATTCCAAGATGGATGAACAGATGAACAGATGAATGGAATGGTTGGGTGATGAGCTGATGAGTGGATGGATGAAGGTATTTAACGAAGTCCTTTCTTCATTCCATCCTTCTGGCTCGTTTTCTTGTTTGTTCATTACTTCANGTGGTGGTGGTGGTATCATATTGTGATGTTTCTGGTAAGAGATGTAACGGTGATGTTATTGTCTTATTGCTATTGTGTCATAAAATACCTGTTGAACACCATTATCTTTTATATGATGATATTTTTTGATTGTAATGATGATGATCCTTAGAATTGAGCGTTACTGTTTGCTTCGACGCTCAGATTCGTTGGTTGTCCTTTCAGCCCCTCATGCCCGACACGCCGTACCACCAGGCAATTTCTTCTCACTGCTTTATCTGTGTAGATTGGATTCTGTTGTAGTGTTTTATGCTTGTCTTTGTGGAAGTCTCATCTAAAAAAACACTTGGAAAATTCAATGGAACTCCTCACGAGCAAATGCATCATCGTGTTTACTTTCCACAGTCATACTTCAACCCACTATTATTCTATTAACCCAACGCACTAAAACTCCCCAAGCTTGCATTAATCAGGCTTGCTTGCTTTTTATTCGTTAATTTCATTTGGACGGTCACAATATTTTGATTCTTTGATAATTTTTATGGATCAGAAGTTCTTGCCTATTGTGTCAACATACATCTTGACTACTATGTTAACCTTTTGTGATTCCCGTTCCTTATTGGAAACTTGAAATTTGATCGGTACGTTAGATATTTCAGCAAGTTGTTAGCGCCTTTTTGGTGAAACTCGATGCGAAGAAATTGAACTGTTGAACGATTGGGATTTTCTACAGTGTGCAATTCATGCTATAATATATTCACTGAACGATATTATAATAATATATTCATGCCAAATTGCAGTTAGTTACTACTGAAAGCAAGCTTCTAGCAGACTTGTTCTAGTTGAACGATAGATGAACGCTCATTAGAATTCCAAATCTTCTCCGGCAATTTGTTAGCCACTAGCGATGACACAGAAATCGTGTTGTTCACTGGAGACTCGAAATGACTAATCGTAAATAATTCGTCTGAAATTATCATGTTTTATTTCAAAAGTTGGTCCAAAACATCAAGCAAGTGCTAATTCATTCGCCAACAGTCAATGCATTCTGATCCAACCGTGCAGCTGCATGCAAGAGCTTTGAAGGTGAATGATAACAGATTTTATCATTTGCATCTGTAGTGAAGTTACACGAAGGAAGAAAATACGGCATCAGTGCGGTGCATAGAACGGATGTAACCAAAATCAGTTCCAAACGTTAAAAATTATCGCGTTAAGGCTGTCAGATTCAGGCAGTTTCAAAATAATTGACGGCTTGATATGAGGTCGAGAGATTTCACAAAACTTACTAAGAACCCGTCTTCTGAGTAAGAAACCATTAAGGAATCCTATTTCGAGCCCTAGCAATGTCTTCAGCCGTTCCGGATGGCGATAACATTGTATTGGAGTGATGCGTCCTAGTTTACAGAAATTTTTTAGGCACAATCTATTTTACGGTCCTGAGCATAACCGTAATCTTATTTGTTCCTTCTTTCTACTGTTTCTGATTGCTTTTCAACTGAAACTTACTTTTACCTTCACGTTGACTATTCCAACGAGTCGCTTACTGCATTTAAGATGAGATTTGCCAAAGAAATTTCACTGATTTTCTCATTTTGACTGGGTAT